GATGGATTTGGCCTTTACTCTGTCCTGCTTTTTGCTGGCTGACCTCGAACACACTTGGGTCAACTCCAACTGTTTCAAAATGTGCTTTAAGAGTATGTTGGACGGATGGGTGGATGAATGGATGGATGGATGGAAGTCCCACCCTGCCTCTTGACAGGATTTGTTCTTCAGGTTTGTTGTATATGAAACCCTGGAAGTCTGAATCCGTGTCTTTGAGGCTATCATCAGTCTGCTCTGGCTTGGAAATGCTCAGCTATGGCGCTAACCACTTATTTCACTGGTTATCTGAACATATGGACATGTGAACAAAGATGATTTTCACCAGAGGGGGGTTTTATTTGTGTCGCATATCCAGTCCTGTCTCATACTGCAGCGACTCGGAGCTCAGTCTGAACAGTTCCTCATCATCCTTTCTGTCTGTTTGCAGACTTCAGGGCTTGACACGAACAGGTCGACGCGACACCACGGCCTGGTGGACAGGGTCTACCGGGACCGGAGCCGCATCACGTCGCCCCACAGGAAGCCCATGTCAGTGGACAAGCATGGACGCCAGATATCCTTCCAACCAGCTCATTCAGATCCCGAGGTCGGGCGCTGCAGCTGTTGAGCTGAGCTTCTGTTTCATCTCTCACATATTGTGATCCTTCCACCCAAGGTCTCAGTCGCTTGTTCACTCGCAGGTGTTTTCAATTTATTGAGATGATCAGACCTTTGTGAGCAGAGTCGCGCTGGGAATAGCGCGGCCTTCCCTTCGCTACCAGGTGCAATACAATAAGTATTAGCATCACAGAGACGGTGATGAAGCACCGCCTGTGCACGCCCACACGGTTCTGAGAAGAGGTCCAATCAGGCAACATGAGCACAACCTTTATTTTAACTCGCAATGAGGTGGAGGCTTCGTTTACAACATGAAGCACCTGCGAGGATGCAAAGGGCTTGAATTTCATCACTGTTTAGCAGAGCTAGGGGAGCATCCAGCACAAATACAACCTAAGCTGTTGCTCTGTGTGTGTTATGTCAGTTTAGTTATCTTAAGATTGTGAAAGAATAAGCATGCAGCATTATAGTGAAATATCTGGTTAGATATCAAACTGATCCAGTTGTCATGGTGCTGTACGTTCACAGCAGTACAGGCAGGATGAGAGAGCCTTTCTCCAGGATCCAGGAGGTAAAAGCATTTAAATGAAGAAGTGTTGGCATCTCTGGACCAGCACTTCAGCATTCTGACAGCTGGTGGCATGAAGCTGCTGATCAGTCTGGAGGTTCTTCCTTCAACGCTCCAGAAACGTTTGGCTGATGGCAGCAGTTCAGACAGTTGATGGAGAGGGTGTGAGGAGTCCCTGACCATGTTCAGGGTCCTGTTCCTGCAGCAGCTCTGGAGAAGTTCTTGGACAGAGGAGACCCTCTGAGCTCCTCTAACTATCCTCTGCAGGGCTTTCTGTCTGACACACTGCAGCTGGAGGACCATGTGGAGATGCAGGATGTCAGAATGTTTGGTATTACATGTATAGACTGATATGTAGGCACCCCTTCAACCGATAAGGCCTTCAGTCGAGTCTGGACTGATAATGTGAAGCTTACTGAAAAGCATCAGCAGAGCACCGGTGGAGGTGCTAATCGTGTGTCTGCTCAGAGTCTCGAGGCTTCTTCACGTCTGGATTTTACAACTTTCTGTGGCTGCAGAAACACTTCACCCGTTCTGTATGCACTTTTGCATGACTAGAGTACGGGTTTGAAGGCCTGTTAGAGGCATCACACACAATGAGCCGATCAGGATTGCAAATTCAGCACTGACAAGAAAAAAGCCAGACGGTGAAGTTCTGTCACTCACATCACACGCTGGCTTGATTGGCGTTCGCCACTGGTGCTGTGGGCTTTTTATTAGATCTTCATGTGTTTAAAGAATTCACAGGAGAGACTTAATTGAATCTGCCAAGACTTTCAGGCTCCAGCTGTATTTTCTTAACCTGCGATCTCACATTGACAGCTGTCCATATGGCTCGGTGTATCTGTCACCGCCACCTGATACCAGTTGGAGAAGGTAAGTCCGTCTCCAGGGATGAAGCACAGTCTCTGGTACTGTCAGTGATTACTCTGGCAAATCTTTTACAGTTTCCACAAGGATGATAATTCACACCACACTGCTGTTCACCGTAATGCATGTTGTCCTCACCATGAAGACGCAGGCTCAGATTAATAATACAGGACGCATTCAGACACTAGAGGACTTTAAAACCCACGATGGAAACATGATCCCATATCTAATGATTCACCTCCACAGATTACTGTCACTGCAGAAAAATGCTCAAATCATCACAGACTGTTATTCTTGTGTTAAAAATTAACACGTTTGATCATAAAGTTCACAAACCCTCGACATTGTGTGGTATGTGGGTGAGACTCCCTGTTTTTTCAGCCCAGTGTTTTTTCCCTGAGCCTAAGAATCTGTAAACAACTCGATAAACTGTGATGATCGTGGTTCATTCACCACTTAAAGGAGGAGTTTGTTTACATGTCGTAGTATTTGTCTCTTAGACTTTAGTTTACATTGCACCGTGTGATTTTCACATTTTTGTGCTGCAGGACGAACTCGGACTCGGCGCTGCATCAGAGTACACTAACTCCTGCCCAGCAGGCCTCCTTCACCGGAGGGTCACAGGAGCTGCAGCCAAAGCGAGGTACAGAGGGTCTCAGAGTTACGTTTCACATTTCAAGTTTTAATTTGGACTTCTATTTTAATTTCATCCAGAAGGTCATTTACAGAGTACTCATCAAGTCTTAGCCAGAAGATAAATGTATGAACTGAAGAGTAGCTGGGCTGCAGGTGTCTCGGTGGTTAGCACCGTCGCCTCACAGCTAGAAGGTCGCCGGTTGGCGTCCCGGTGAGGACACCCGGGATCTTTCTGCGTGGAGTCTCCATGTTCTCCCCGTGCAACGTGGGTTATCTCCGGGTTCTCCGGCTTCCTCCCACAGTCCAGAAACATGCTGAGGTTAATTGGTGATTCTAAATTCACCCTGAGTCAGCTGGGATAGACTCCGCCCCTCATTACCCTAGTGAGGATTAAGGTGTAGAAATGGTGGATGGATGAGTAGCAGCTAGTTTGCTTTTATTGTATGACGTGAGCTGTTCATTGACTCTGTTTGTTCTGAGCCAGTCTGTCTTAATCAGGTGTTTCTGTCTCCTTCTGATGAGCTGTTTTGTTGCCCTCCTGTTTATTTTGGTGGTGTGTTGTTGCCTCCTCCTGATGGTTCAGCAGTGTGATGAAAGAGTGCTAACGTAGCTTTGAAGCCAGAGGAGCAGCATTAACGGGGCGCAAACCCGTCTTCTCAGCCATTAATTGTATCCAATTAATTTTACTGTTAATGACCATGTGAGTGTGTATGTGTATGTAAATGTATCACTTTGGAGGCATTCTGTGGTTCTGCTCATTAAGGCAGCATCACACTTCTTCTCTCCTTCCTCTCTTTGTTCTGTATTCTGCCTTTAATATCACTTTATCGCATGAAACAAAGACTCGTGGGCTCCAGCGATCATGAGCTCCAACAGGCTGGACATCTGTAAGCCCCAGAGACTGAGGAGCTTTTGTTTTCTCCATCTCTCCAGTTCTCCTACTCACTGTTCCAGGGTCAGAAGCAATCAAACAAGAGGGCGATGACGATGGACAAGAACAGAGCTGGGACTGCAAAAAGGTAGAACCTCTACAGTCAGGGAGGTGTTGTTCCTTCAGCTTTCTCTGTTCCCTGCCAACACCTGAGCTCTAACTTTCTGTCTCCTTTAGAACATTTCAAGGTCCAAGCCCTGCAAAGTTCCTGGGATCCAGTGAGTATTCGTCTGGTGTTGTTCTGTGCAGCTTGTAGGCTGATTACCATAATGAAATGAGGACTGTGTGAGAACGTTTAGCTCCCACTTAAGTGTGCATTTACACTCATCTGATGAACAGGTATGAATAAAACATAGTTTTAGATTGAAGCCATCTGACTGTAGTTAGACATAATTCTCATTTACTCGCTCAGCTGCCAAAGTAATCAGAGCCTGGAGCCAAAAGATTTGCAAAACAGCTCTGGCCAAACGCATGAAGTCCAAATATCTCTGGAGTTGTTTGTCTTGGAGAACATTTCCAGTAATCTGCATAAGCTTCCCTGTGTTGTGTTGGTCCATCATCCGGTGCACTGAGCCCGTCACCGTGGCTGCAGACTTCACAGTGCCCGTCTGTTTACCGCAGCATATTCCCGTCTCCGGACCAGCAGCTGACCGCCTCACAGAAACCAGCAGCCCACAACACTGGCGGTTCTCTCCCTGACCTGACCAACATCCAGTTCCCTCCCCCGCTGCCCACCCCGCTTGACTCGGACGACGCGGCCGCCGCCTCGTTCGGCTCCTCCAGCAGCATACATGCTCTGGGCAACACGCAAGGTAGCTGCAGGCGCTGCCGTTCAGCGCTGTCAGAGTTTCCCTTAGATACGTGCACAGCCTGAATGGCTTTTTTATTTCAGCACTTGGCGCTCGCTTGGTGCCGCTTTTGGATGGTGCTTTTAAGAAAACTCTTTTCTTGTGCTGTTTTTGTGTGCTGGGTAGGAGTGAGCACATCTCAGCCCACAGTAACCATGGAAATGCAGCCTGGACAGGACAACATGGTTCCTCTTATCCTCAACGCAGGAGACTCCCACCAGCACCAGAACCTGCAGCTCTCTCCGACATCTCCACCTCTCACTCTCTCTCAGGTGCAGCCAACTCACCAGGCCCTTCCCAGTCTAGCTGTTCATGGTGTCATTTCATTTATTTTACACAAATCCTCTCAGTGCAGGTTCACTTTTCGTCGTGTTGGGGTGATGAGGTTGTGTTTGTGGTATTAAAATACTCCAGACTGACTATTTCTTTCCATTATTTGGTCAGTTAGAACAGTTGTTTCATCAGCTGTGAGGGGGAAACTCAACCTGAATGCATTTCTCCTCCTCATCGGTTGCTTTGTCCCCGACAGGCGGCCATCAACGCCATGAACCTGGAGCAGCAGCTGTCCCAGTATGCCTTCTTCAACCAGCAGCCATCGTCCCAGACGCACCAGAACCAGCAAGTAAGCTTCACATTTACACCAAAGCTCCAACGGCCGACCTGCTCTCATGTGTTTTCTATTTGGTGGGTGGGTTTTATCTTAGTGAGGAGAGATCAATATTTAACATACAGTATCTCAGTGAGCACCGAGGGATTCATAGTTCATATAAACTATGTGTTCAGTGGGAAATAACTATATTATAAGTTTATTATTTCACTCGTATCAGGACATCAAAATGCCATAAATAATCAGGTGATTCATGTCAGACGTTATTACACATACAGCTGCTGATCCTGCGTCTCTGTGTTAAACATCTTTAATGAAGTTCCTGAGCCTCCGAGTGTCTGTTGTCTGCATCACCAGGCAACGTCTGGTTAAACAGGAAGAGCTTCACTGCAGTTTGTAAACCTGACAACTTTCTAGACAGATGGTTTCAGTCCAGCAGAGCGACCTCTCTGATCTTCTGTCTGACTCGCCGTCTCTCTCACTTCTTCACTTCTACCTGCTGCTTCTCCACATCTTTAGTTTCTGTGCAGGTTCAGCTGAACTGTCTCTCCTGTCTTCTTTTCTTTTTACTGTTTCTCAAATTCTACCAACACTGATGAAGTCCTCTTTCTGTTCTTCTAGCATCAGTGGATTTGGACTGATTTGCTCCACCGTGATGCACTTTTAATATTATTCTCTGTTAGTTAGTTGTTCTGGGCGGTTACTCGTGGATTCAGATGAGTGTGTCTATGAGCGGTTTAGCTGAGGTTCAGCTGTCTCTGCCTGCAGTTCAACGCCAGTACATTCATGTAGTAATAAACACCCACGTCAGAGATGTCCGCTTAAACCGTCCAGCTACTACAAATTAGTCCACACCTTCCAGCCAATTCAGATTCCTGAACTTCTAGGGGCCTTGCTGTAAAACACAGTGAACTGGACAGAACTGATTGTAGACGAGGTTTTTCCTTTGCTGACGTGTTGCTTCACCGTCCGTCAGAGTTTTGTTGTGAACCGACGTAGAGGTCTGCTTCTGTTTCACATGTCAGCTCACGAAGCAGCTCACAGTCGATCCAGTTTAAAGGTTAAAATAATCCAATGTACTGCAGAGTTGTAGGTTTATGTCAAACACTGGATCTTCAAGTGATCTTCTTCAGGCTGACTGTGGTTCTGTATGGACGACAGACTCGCTTCAGGGATTCAAGTCCAACTGAAATAATATTATGTTGTTGTTTTTATCCCAGAGACCTTTTTTTCTTTCTTTCTTTTAATTGCATAAAACTATTAATCCATTTAAAAACGATTAACCGGTTTCAATTTTAGGATCTGGGTCAGATCTGAATGTCAACGTGCGCCTGTCGTGGTTTTAATCAGATTAATGGGAATAAATAAGATAAACAACATCAGCAGTGGAAAGAAAAAGAAATGTATGGACGTGTTCTACCTTTAAAATCATTAATCTGATGAAACCTGACTGCAGACTGTTCCTTAAACGGATTAATGGAATTAAAATGTCAGCAGTCAGTCAGTTTACTTTATTATTGAGAATCTTTTTCTTAAAGTCTGACGCTGAGCAGGAAGCACGTTGTCTCTCTCACAAGGTCCAATCAGGATAAAAGACCATTCTTACAGTAAAGTTAGCAGTATTTGTGACATTAGTTATATATTCAGGTATGCAGTATGATGTAGCTCATAAATGTAAGATATTCATTCAGCTCATTTCCAAATACTCATTTAGCCTCCTTTACAAGATGCAGCGGACAGCTCTGGGTAGAATCTAGTAAATATTGAATTAAACTTTTTTTGTTAGACTGTGGTTTCTTATATCGAGTACAAACCCTTAGACTGACTTTATTAATCCCAGAGGGAAACTCAGGTGTTACAGCAGCAGTATTCAACAAAGGGGTGAACAAACAGACAACACAGAGTACTAGGGTATAAGATGAAGGCTGAATAAAGTAAAATAAAAAAAGATAAAAATATAGAACATATAATATAGAAAAGAATATATAGGAGATAACAGAAATGTGCTTATAATGAAACATTAAAGAGTCTTATTGGTGTCAGGAGGAATGACCTCCTGTGACCTTCCCTGGAGCAGCTCACGGTGACTGTAGACAGATGTGATGAAATATAACAGCTTTGTTCTTAGGAGAGGTCAGTATTTTAGACCAATACACTCCTCCATGCTGCGATTTGATTGGTTATTTACTATTTATGAAGTTTGAATCAGTGGATGTTAAATGACTATGATAATGACTATATGTGTCACAGATGATGTAATCGTTGGATTAAGATGTCAGGTCCTCGCTGTGCAGCCTGCAGCCGTTTGTGTACTGAAGGATTATTTTCATATCTGCCAATTAAGGAAGATTTACTGCATCTGTGATAAGCCAGTGATAAAACTGTACAGCCGTGCTTGATGACTGCGTGGCGGCCGTATCTATTTATGGTCTTGCTGCTTGTTTTCCAGCAGACGGGTCTGGTCCAGCTGCCGCCCTCCGTGAACTCCTGCCCCACGTCAGACAACCAGACGTCCTCGCAGAGCAGCATGACCATGGACATGAACACGGTGAGCGCTGCATGTCTGTGTTGTGTTGTGACAGCGGCGACGTCCCGTTCTTCCTGAATAGGCGTCGACGCGCTCGGACTGGGCCACACTGTGCACATTTAGTCGTGGTAGAGCGTGGGAAGCCTCGCAGCAAACAGAGAGTGTGATTGTGCTGCGTACATGCGTGACAGTGCAGCCGCTCGTCCTTCAGATCTCTGGCTGCGCCGCTGCAGTGGGAGCCTGTTTGGATCACTGCAGAACGAAGTGGCCCACATTCATGTTCATCTCAGCTAGAGACTCTGCAGCGTGGGGTCAAGGAAACTCTGAAGCGCACACCTGGAGTTGTGCTGCTGGAGTGTTGTTTTATTTCCCCTCTAGCTCGGACCTGTCAGTTTTAGCTTTGCAGCAAACAGCAGCTACACCGAGATATTAGAAAGTAGGTTTAGTTCCATCACACAGGTTTATTCCAGCAGCGATCGGGCCGCTGGTCGACCTTGAACTGCTTCATGGCTTCATGCTACCAATATGCTGGTAACTTATCCATCAGTAGATTAGGAGTCTGGAGGTTTGAACTCCTGCTGACGTTTAAGAGATGAGACATTAGCAGTCCTACTGGATGCACCTCTACATCTGAATTACTGACAGTTTGATGGTACCGTTGATAGTTCTGTGTTTAGTTGACTCACTGGTTAAAACAGAATTGAACTACTTTAATATATTAGTTTTCTGGTATGTGCAGATAGTCTTCCTTTGGTTTTGTTGGACTGAACAGCAGATATGACAGAACAGAGCAGAAGACAGCAGTTCTCTGATCACTGCTGCCGGCGTTTTTCCTCTTAATGAATCCCTGTAGCTCGCTGCTGCACACATCTCTCTCTGTAGTACTAACACGCTGATGCAGTCCACGCTGCTCGCTTTCCTTCACATGCTGTGTTTATTCTAATTGTATTTCAGAGATTAGTTTGCTGAGTAATAACCATCAGAGACAGTAAATCAATATCTCAGCGCGCCTACTGCAAGACAAACATCACAGAGCTCCACGTTCACCATGAGAAGATTCACACATAGCAGGCTCCAGCAGAGAACGTCCTCCATGTGAATAACTGCCCTGTGTCCTCTCGTATCAGGCCTCCTCCCTCCAACAGTACCGCAGTAGGGTCGGATCCTCTGCCAATCAGTCTCCAACTTCTCCCGTCTCCAACCAAGGCTTCTCACCTGGAGGCTCGCCTCAAGTAAGGGCGTGTGAACCGATGAGCTGGTGGCTCACGTTGTGTGACCGTCACCGTCCCTTGCATCGTGTGGTTCTCATTGCCGAGCAGGACTCTGGCTGCCCCCCACAGCGGCTTCCCTCTGTTATTATCAGCAGATCTGGGCAAAAACAAAACAATAAAAACCAGGATGTTGGTTTATATCTGAGCACTTCAGCAAGACAAAGTCAAAACAGGTTTTTTTCCCCTTAAAGTTAGCGATGTAGGGTTTTTTTTTTGTAGCATTTTAATTACCTGCTTTGTTTTTTAAATACGCCAGGACGTCAGGACGTCACACCGTCGACCATTTCTGAGTAGAATCAACTCCACAAATAAAAACAATATGCAATCAGGGACATCGGCAAGTTGGATCCGTAACTTCTGGATTGATTCTAATAAAGGCCAAAAGGAATGATGAAAATCCCAATAATAAGACGAACTCTCTGAACCCCAAAGCAGCCAGCGGGTGAATGAAGCATGCTGTCTGTAAAAACAAGAATTACACCGTTTACTAGAGCCAGACTTTGTGAAAAGAGAAAGAAAAGTCAGTTTGGTCTGGTTGGTTTGCCAAGAAACGTAGCTTAAAAAACGCCTGAAATCATGATGTTTTATCCAAATCATTTTGTTATGCATGTCTCATTTCAAAAGTCATTAGATTGTGTAGAAAGCAAAACTAGATATGTTAATGGCCCAGCTACGTGACTGAACTGACCTGGGCTGAACTGACCCGGCTGTGTTTACAGAGCAGAGAGGATGTAAGGATGAAAGTATAAAGATGTAAATGATAAAATATCTATAATATGGAAATCACCATTTTTTAAAGACTTACAAACACCTGTGGGAACAACTGTTTAACATACTGAGTAAAATAAATGAAGTAATTAAACTTTAGATTTAGATTTTTGGTGGTTTATGACGTGTAGGATTATAACTGAGTCATTCTGAGTTCTCTCTACTTCTGTCCATGGTTGTTCTGGAGGTGCAGGATTTTATATTTCAGTGAAAAATGAGCCCACAGGAGCAGAAAACGTCCAGAAGGCGTTTGTTGTTCAGAAGGTTGATACACTGAGCTCTGTGCAGCCGACATTTGAACATTCAGGAACATCAAACTCATTAATTTCTTTTATTCTGAATCTAGTTAATATTTAATTGATTAAAGCTGCGTTTCTCCTCCTCTGACATGATGAGAGGAAGTCCAGCTGAGCTTTGTCAAGTCAACAGTTCACACAAGCAAAACATGCAGTCCCAACAGTTTTATAGGCGTCCCTGTTTTGCCCAGATCTCTCCACACACTCCGTGTCATGATGTGTTGTGCTGTAGCTGTGTCCCTGACCTTCCTCCTCTGCTGCTTCTGTGGTCCATGCATTGCAACTCCACCGTTTCCCTCCCAGTCTTGCTTGAGTGGACCATGAACCGGAGGCTTTGTTTTCTGTGTTTCGTCAGACCTTTGTGTGTGTTGTGGTCTCTGAGCCAGCATGGGGACCGGGTGAGTATTAAGGAGGTTTTCATGCCCCCTTCAGAGGGTTTCTGGAGGAGACGCTGCTGATCGAGTCTCAACAAACTGAGCCTTGCTTGCAGGGTGGTGGTTTACGAACACACCCAAAGTAAACATGGATCAGGGTTGTTCATCTGTGTCCGCCTCAGTACAAGCATATGAAAGCAGTGGTGCTGCTCACTGCTCCCAAAAAGTCTAGATTCACACGTGAGTGACCCACGGTGCCTTCACTGACCAACGGTGCCTTCGCTGACCCACAGAATCACTTCCTAAACATGCATCTGCTTCTGCTGAACTTTCAGTGTGACTGTGTGTGTCTGAGGACGAGGAGTGTGACGGTGCACGGCGTGTGTGTGTGCGTTTCCACATGTCTGTGCTGCCGTTTGCTCACACAGCTCCGATCCGGTCCCGAGGTTATCCACGGGCTAAACCAGAACCGACAGGCGGTGTGCGCTGTTGTCCTGCTCTGCCCTGTGGGGACAGCTGCAGCACACACAGATAATCAGGTTTTGGACTAGGAGGAGCACGGGCTGAGAGTATGATCCAATTACTTATACATTAAGAGGCCGCGATGAAATAGGAGAATTTCTGCTGCCGGTTCAACGAGGACATTCAAACGAGAAACTTCAAGAGAATTAGCTGGCAGTGGGTGAGTCAGAGGAGCGAGAATGAAGTCACAAAGGGGATTATGTGTTCAATGATTCCCTTTAATTCATGTGTATTACATTCCGTTTGGTTTGTGGTGATTAAAACACCAAGGCCAGCCGGCAGCAGGGAGCTGGTGAGGAGGACAGAGCTCCGTGATCAGAGTCAGGTCTCCCTGTCGTTAGCAAACCGATTTCAGACATCCGATCTGACAGCATTCATCATTTCCTCACAGTGACCTTTAGGGTAACTGAGTACTGAATGTTTTCTATTTATGTAACCTATCCAGCCTTTAAATTGTTATTTTTATGATTTAGTTGAATGACAAAACAATCCCATTTGCAGGATTTTAATCATTTCCATGCACTTAAAAATCCCTCCTGAGCTGAAGACTGCTGGTGCTCCTGCATGTTTTACTGCCAGCACAAATCCGAGCCGTGTGACTGGTACAGAGCCGGTATCGGCATGCAGCAGTCCGTCTGCTCTGCAGCAAGCACTCAGATGTTGCATCACATACACTCAGGTATCGGCTCATGCACTTGAAGCACACACTCGGCTCCATAGATGACGTTTCCAGATCTGTTTGAGTGATGGCGAGCGCTCAGCTGTTCTGATGTTGTTGCTGCTTTGACTGTGTCCTTCTCATTTTCTATGTTTTATGTTGAATGTGGAGCTTCTGCAGCCTCAGTGAAGTAACGTTCACATCGATGCGCTGCACTTTGTTGTATTGTTGTCAGCCTGGCTGTGAATAACCAGATCTGCCTGTCTGTGGTTGCAGCATAACTCCATCCTGGGCAGCGTGTTTGCAGACTTCTACGACCAGCAGCTGCCTTCCATCCAGGCCAGTGCTCTGTCGCAGCAGGTACAGCCTCCGTCTGCTCACATCCAGCGTTCTCACGGCGCTCTTACTTCAGGGGGGAGATGGCAGATAGCGCTGCAGCACAGAATGACTGTTGCAACGTTTCTCTCCTCTTGTGATTGCCAGCTGGAGCAGTTCAACATGATCGAGACTCCCATCAGCTCCGACAGCCTGTATAACCAGACCTCCACCCTCAACTACTCCCAGGCGCTCATGATGGGTTTGACTGGCCACTGCAACCTTCAGGGCTCGCAGCAGCTGGGCTACAGTAGCCATGGCAACATCCCCAACATCATTCTCACAGGTGCTGTTTCAACATATCATGCAGCGTCTTGAGTCATACAGCGAGCGGCTTGTTGGACGTGAAGCGTGGAGCTGTGAAACCCCAGACCAGAAGAAAGCTGGTGATTCATGCCTGATCGTACGTCTTGTGATAGGGACGGTTCCTCTGAAGCCAAACAGCTGAACAAAGATGTAGAGGTCCCATGTTGTGCCCTTTTCAGGCAAATTAATTAAAGTCTCACGTGTCCCAAGTAATTTCACATTTCAGGTCAAAATGCTGCAAAGATGGTTGAGTTCACCATGACTGTGTAACTCCTGGCTTTAGTCTTGTTCTGGACAGGCTCCTTCAGTGTCTGTAGCTCAATTAACTAAATTAACTCTGAATGTCAGTTTCCACTGAGCTCTGACCATCCAGCCATCATCTTCACCACTTAAGCCTCACTAGGATGTAAAACATCAGAAACATCCCAGGTGTCCTAACCGGGACACAAACCGGCGATCTTCTGGCTATGAGGTGACGGTGCTAACCACCGAGCCACCGTGCAGCCCAGCTCTGACCAGTGGGTGTAAAATCAAAGCTAGTGGTACCATCAGTCACATGATGGCCTTATGCTGAGGATTGTCCTGTTGTTGTGGGGACATTGCCGTCAGTAATCAAAGTAATCCACGAGGTCTTCAGCTCCTGAGATGCTGGTCGTGCATGAAGACTGTTGTGTTCAGTCTTGCAGTAAGCAGCAGAACATTTGGTGAGCTTTGCTTTTGGCGGAGATGTTTTGTTAGCAGAGGCAGCTCCAGAGGTAGGCTGGGTCGGAACAGAACCACGGTACTGGGAGATAAATGCCCACATAAAGGATGCCAACATGCTCACAGTGGCAGTGCTATGGTGGTGATGGGCAGGATTTTCACCATGTTCTTCTGAGTTCAGCCCTCAAATGTTCCAACGTTTGCTAAATAAGAATTAGCAAGAGTCGTCCTTTACACACCAGGAACTCCTGGACAAGTTTTATGAGTCTGTCTTTAACCTGCTACCTCCTACCAACCAGAGGAGGGTTTAGAGATTCATCCTAGAGCCATATTTCAGTCCTTCTAGTAGCTGTTATGCTCCTCATGCTTCGGTTTGGACCTCAGTAGTGGACGGACTGACTCTCAGACGGACAGACTCTCAGACGGACTGACTCTCAGACAGGCTGCCGTCCCTCCATCCATCCAGCCATCCCTCCCTCCAGCAGTGCTTGAGATGCTGCTCAGTTATAAGTGATTTCAGTGTAAACTCAGGGATAAACTTGTGAAATGAGTTTCTACCACGATCTCACAGCCCCCTGAGTCGTTCCTTCAGTTGGTTCTGAAGATCAGCAGCGTCGGCTGTTTACTGGCTTTTCGCTGAAATGTGTAATTAGGATGCCAAGATGTCTTCTAAGTTATTATCACACTCCTCTGTGCTCGTTCTCTTGCTGTCACTTGTTTCTTTCTAATTTTATCCTTCTCTGCCTCAGAGACTGACGTGGATGAACGCTAATGTTGTTTTCAATGTGCTGTCTTGCTCCAGTGAGCGGAGAGTCTCCGCCCAGCCTGCCCAAGGACCTGACTGGATCACTGCCCGCAGATGTCAGTTTTGATGTCGACTCCCAGTTCCCGCTGGACGACCTGAAAATCGACCCGCTGACGCTGGACGGCCTGCACATGCTCAACGACCCAGACATGGTCCTCGCCGATCCGGCCACGGAGGACGCGTTCCGCCTGGACCGGCTGTAACCAGCGCTCAGCTCAGCCATGCACAGGTGTGTGAACGCTGCTGAGGAGGAGGAGGAGCATCAGTTCCACACCAACCAATCAAACCCCCCGACAGAGCTTTTAACCCTGGTAGGAAAGTGCATTGAAATGTTGTTGAAGACTGCTGCCAGCTTCCCTTCTCCATGACCACATACGGTCCGGTATTACTCACGGCTCCGTCACTGCTTTTGCAAACGATTCGTCCAGTTTTGATTTGTTTGAGATGCTTTGCTGTTAGTTAGGGAAGCTTGAGGAACAACAACGTGAGGCCAGGAGCAGCCTGGCGTCTCGTTCTCCATCAGTGACTGACTAGACTCTGACTGCAGAGCAAACCCAAGTTTAGAACCCTACGGTATCACTGGCCTGTTTACATAGAGCAGCCCGATGACTCAGAGGAAGCACACGTCAGTCCAACCTCCCTCTGTGCCCAGCTGGTGGTTCTCAGAGCTACATTGAGTTTGGATGTTGGAAGTCGGCCGATATCGCACCGTTTAATTAGCTGTTGAGCTGTTTCTGGTCAAATGAATGAAATCAGTCCTGATGTGATGAAGCCGCCTCTCGGTGCTTCATCTGATTGGTCACACATCCAGAGTAACAGCCTGTCAACTCTTAGAAGTTCTCTCTTCATCAACCCTCTGAACTCCAGGCAGGTTTTTACTCACTGTGGGCTCGTTTTTCACCTCTACTAAAGCAGCACAGCCGTGGTCAGAAGGAAGAGACAGAATTAGGTTAACAAATCCATCCATCATCTCTACACCTTAACCCTCACCAGGGTCCTGGGGGGCGGAGCCTATCCCAGCTGACTCAGGGTGAAGGCAGGTTCACCTGGACAGGTAACCAGTCTATCACAGGGCTACACTTAGAGACAGACAACCAAGCACACTCACATTCACACCTACGGACAATTTACAATCACCAATTAACCTCAGCATGTTTCTGGACTGTGGGAGGAAGCCGGAGAACCCGGAGAGAACCCACGCTGCACGGGGAGAACATGGAGACTCCACGCAGAAAGATCCCGGGTGTCCTCACCGGGACGCCACCCGGCGACCTTCTAGCTGCGAGGCGCTAATGGTGCTAACCACCGAGACACCTGCAGCTCTTTACAAATATAAAATACCAGAAATCATGAAAAACAAAACAGGAAACTTTCTTTGATGATTTATTTCTGTTATTAATTTAAAAGAATCCAGAACCAACATTAGTCCAAGTGTCCTCCTGTGGTACCGATATTGGTTTAAAGTGGTCGCTTTACCACAGACGTTTACCTGCTTACAGGTATACCTCGGTTCAGTCATTCACTCTCTCTGCAGCCTGAGTTTCATCACGTTGACTCACTAATGGCGTCGCAGTACAGTTTTTAGTTTTTAGTTTAGTTTGTTTACAGGATGTTGTTGCTGCAGATGTTCACTTTCTGGCATCTATTTAAATGAGACGTAGAATAAAACGACTTTGATTGTAAACTTACATCAGATCGTTTTTCCCTCAAAGAAAGTCACACATGAGCAGGTCATCAGAGGTTTGAACTTCTGTTGGTTCTGCTTCATTTTACAGCTTCTGGTTCTGATGAATGGGGTCATTTTGTGACAGCATTTCAAACCCACGGGCAGGTTCTGAGGTTCAGAGGGTTACACCGACGTACAACAGAACTTTTAATGAAGTTTGATTTGGATTTTAAATTTTAACAGCAAGATGTTCACGTATCGGTTTCTTGACGTCCTTGATGTCTCGTCACCACCAAACCTATCGGTTGACCGCTAGCGCTAACACTGTGCTGGCGTTGTGCTGACGTTGTGCTGACGCTGTGCTGACGTGGAGCTGCGTGCAGTGGAAGCCCGGCGAGGCGATGAGTCATCAGTTTGCAACCTGATTTATTTTGAGGAAATGCTGAGTTTTGGTTTTGGTAAATAGCAGTCATCAGTTATGCATGAAATCACAGATCACTGTGCATACTTGTTTTGCCTTACTCGCTTGACGTTTTGGTTCTCATGCAGACGACTGTCGGGTAAACGAGGAGACGCACGGCGAGCCGTCCAGTCGTTTCTGCTGTTATCAGGCCGACATGGTTCATTGTCACGACCATATCGTTCTCGTGTTTGTTTGAGGTCTGTTCTGGACTAGATGTTTACGTTTTGTTTGTATGCTACATGTACAGAATGTGACGAGGGTTTACGTGATGGTATCTATGCAAAAACTACACGATCGATTAGGACTGTAAAACCAAACCCTTCCCTATCGGAGGCCAACCTGCAGGATTCTTAGCGAAGCGATGGTGCCATGTTCCTCCTGAATCCGTCTTCTGTTATTTTTCAGATCAGTCAGTCAGAGAGAACCGGCTCGCTGAGTGCGGCGTACGCTACAAACTCTCCTGGCTTCCTCCCAAAGATGTGACCTCAGCCTAGTTGAATCTATATATTTTTCCAGACAGTTGAACTGCCTCTCTGCTAGAACAGCATCGTCGATGCAATGAGAATGTATTCCGGTCACATCTGTACACGTGTGTCGTTGCCATCCCGTCGTCCTGTTGCCTCTCATGTCTCTCCTTTACGTCCTGGAGGACCAGATATCTCTCACCTGCTGGTTTCTCTGCCTGCCAAGCGTTTGCTGTGCAACTGTGTTTGTTTCCATGGCGCTACAGGGACCCCGGATGTCCTGGTCGTGCTGTCTGTTCCTGTTCCGGCCTTCAGTTTGTGCATTTAGACGCTTTAACATCCTGTCAAACCTGTTCTTTCTTCTTCACGTGGTTCCTTTGGATTCGCTGCATCCCAGATCTCATCGTTGCACTTTATGCATCTATTCAGAAGCACTGAGCGTTTCTGTCCTCCCCTCTGACTGTTACGTGCACTGGACCTGTTCGGCCCATCGTCGGTTCTACTTGCCTTCTTCTTAGAAAACAAAAAGAGAAAGAAATATGAAAAAAGCTCTATTAAATTATTTTTGAAAGCTCATATTCAGATAGTCTATTTAACAGAGTTTCTACTGAACCGCTGTTTTGTCTCTCTGCTGGCGACTGCAGGTCCTGTTCCTGCAGGTTCTGTTCCTGCAGGTCCTGTTTCTGAAGGTTCTGTTCCTGCAGGTTCTGTTCCTGCAGCCCCTGTTCCTGCAGGTTCTGTTCCTGCAGCTCCTGTTCCTGCAGGTCCTGTTCCTAAAGGTTCTGTTCCTGCAGGTTCTGTTCCTGCAGCTCCTGTTCCTGCAGGTCCTGTTCCTGCAGGTTTTGTTCCTAAAGGTCCTGTTCCTGCAGGTTCTGTTCCTGCAGCTCCTCCTGCTGCTGCTGATGGCAGGTTTCAGGAAACAACACTAACGAGTCACTAATCAGCAAAAGTTTGTTATTGAAAGGTGAAACAATAGTGAGATGAGTGTGTTTGACGTTAATATCGCGATACTGTACCAGACGGGCTCAACCAGTCCCAACCGGTCCCTGAAGAGTATTTTAAAGAATTCATATTCAGAGCAGGTAGAACTCCTGTTAACAGGCTGGTTATTAGGTAAGTGTAGGAGCTTCTCTAGGACACTATGAGGCTGTTTTCCGTGGATGTTCATCCCCCTGTCGCTGTGTGTCCGGCTCCTCCTGGGCCAGCATCGTCCACCTTCATTCACACACCAGGTGGAAAACGTTCCCACGACTAACTAAGTTGTTCAGCTTGAAGATTTTATTATTTTCCTTTAAAAAAAAAAAAAAAAGAACTGACTGTAATGTTCTGGATGCATCCCGTTTCTCACTTTGGATGCAGTGGTTCTGTTGTTTTATTTCAGTAACTCTGTGACTGCATGAATCTCTGGCCTGGTTTCCCCTTTACGGCTCTACTTTGTTTGTTCGTCTTCTGTTTTTTGCTGAAATCGTCCTTTTGTCTGTTTTTTGGATCCATGTGTAGGCTCCTGCTACGTGAACAGCATCAGATAAACGGTGATCAGCCTTTTATGCACATGTACGAGCTGTTGTTTGGTACCATGTTTTCTACTGCAATATACAGTCTGTGCTTCTTCTTCTTCTTCTTTCTTTTTTTCCCTGTGCGACACCCACAGAGTTTTATTATGTCATGGTGAACCTATAGACTAGCTTTGTATATCGCTGTATGGTAGGAACAATGTTTTTCGTGCTTTATGTGATATGATGTCAAAGTAAGAAAATGCACTGAGACATACCGTGCTGCAATACGTCATTGTGGCTCTTTATTCTCTGCTGGACCTCTGGTTTTTCTAGTGAGCCTGACATCTTTGTGGGTTCTTTTTTTTTCTTCTTCTTCTATGGTTTTCGTGCTCATGTAGATAGCTCTGACTGATGTGTCAACTGTTACTGCCACCTTTTTATGCATCAACGTTCAGGTATCCATTGGCGTTCAGCCGGTGTTTACAGAGACAAGAGTTTACAGCAGAGCAATGTCACTTCTCCTCAGCTTCGTTAAATACTGTGTCTGGAATAACGGACTACATACGGACGAACCACTCGCAGTGTAGATTAGCAACAACGATTCTGCTGTTTGAACACAACAATAATGTCATTTCAATATGATGACTACACATGGACCTCAGCCATATGCATTCTGAGGCCCTCAAAGCACTTTTAATTTAATTAACATGTTTTAATTCTGCAGAAATTCCCCTTTATATGTACTTGCTATGAGCAGCTACATGCCATCTGATGTTATTTTTTATTTTATTTTAAGATAATAGGTACTGTATTTAGTATGGAGCAGTGAGCGCGCCAGATTACAAAAATAGATCAAAAAAAGAATAGTAAAATAAAAGTGGAAATAAAAAGAGGAATAAATAAAATAAAAAATAAATAATGTGGCAATATAAAGCAATATTAATCCATAAAAAGGCTAATAAAAGTAGAAATATAAAGACAAATAAATAAAGTAATAATAACTTTTTAAATGTATTTTTAATTTTTTT